CAACAGTACCAGCATATAGCCTAAACATGATTCCTAGCATGAATCACAGCTCAAGTGTTCTAACACATAGAATACAGCAAGAATATTCTGATAAAATGGCTACGTAGCCCCAGGGTAATGACTAAATCACAACTTCTACGGTGCACGCCCGCACGCCCGTCACTTGGCATGCGCGTCACCTCAACATCTATCACATAGTACGTAATTCGGGGTTTCATACCCTCAGAACCAAGTTTAGAAGTGTTACTTACCTCAGGCTGTGCGAAACTCTATCCAACAATCCTTTGCCTAGCGAAACGGCCTCCAAATGCCTCGAATCTAGCCACAAATAGTTCGATACAATCAACACGATCTAAAGGAATCAATTCCATAAGAAATTACTAAGCTCTTAATCAAAAGTCAAAAAGTTAACTCAAAAGTCGGCCCCGTGGCCCATGTCTCGGAATCGGGTAAAAGTTGCAAAATCCGAAGATCCATTCAACCACGAGTCCAACCATATAAAAATTACTCAAATCCGATACCAAAATCTCGATCAGAACCTTAAAATTTGGCCTTAGAAATTTCCTCCATTTTCCCCCAATTTTCCACCCCAAATCACTAATTTAATGATGAAATCAAAGTCATAAACATGGAAATTAGCCAAAACTAGGTAAGAATCACTTACCCCAATCACCCACGTGAAAATCTCTCCAAGAATCACCTCCCACCGAGCTTCCAAAATCAAATTTGTGTTATGAACTCAAACCCTCAATTTTGAAATATTTAAGTTCTGCCTAGTGATCCTTAATCGCGATCGCGAAGCACAACTTAACTACCCAGAAATTTAAACCTATCCGACCGCGCAAAAAACACACGCGACTGCGAAGCATAGGCTGTCCAGGCCTATGCGATCGCGGATGGCTCATGCGTTCGGATAGAAGAACGCGCGTGAACCTTAGTTGACTCACCTCCTCTTCGCGAACGCGGCCTAGATCACGCGTTCGCGATGCACTATTTACCCCAGCCTACGCGATCGCGTGCCATAACTGACGATCGCATAGAAGTAAGACCACAACTTCTCTAATTGGCCTACGCGATCACGGATCTTCCCACGCAATCGCGTATAAGGAAATTAGATCAGTGCACTAGAAAATCTGCAGCTATAACACCAAGTCCAAAATTGATCCGTTAACTATCCGAAACTCACCTGAGGCTCCCGGGTCCTCAACCAAACATACCAACAAGTCCTAAAATCCGATACGAACTTAGTCGAGCCCTCAAATCACATCAAACAAAATCAAAAACACGAATCGCATCCCAATTCAAGCCTATTGAAACTAAGGAATTCAAACTTCTACAAACGACGCCGAAACCTAACAAATCACGTCCGATTAACCTCAAATTTTGCACACAAGTCACAAATGACACCACGGACCTACTCCAACTCCCGGAACCCCAATATGAGCCCGATAACCACAAAGTCCACTCTCGATCAAACTTCCAAATTTTTGACTTTTCGTCATTTTAAGCCTAATTCAACTACGAACCTCCAAATCACAATCCGGACAAGCTCCTAAGTCCAAAATCACCCAACGGAGCTAACGGAACCATCAGAACTCCAATCCGGAGTTGTTATTTCAAAAATCAACATCCGATCAACCTTTTCTACTTAAGCTTTTACCCATGAGACTAAGTGTCTCAATTCATTCCGAAACTTCACCGGACCCGGACCAACTACCCCGGTAAGTCATATAACAACTGTAAAGCATAAAATTAGCAGAAAATGGGGGAACGGGCTACAACTCTCGAAACGACCAGCCGGGTCGTTACATGATCAAACTTCTCAACCTTTCAAACCTTTAAGTTTCTAACTTTCGCCAAAATGCATCAAATCAACCTACGGACTTCCAAATCCAAATTCGGACACACGCCTAAGTTCAAAATCACCATACAAAACTATTGAAATCATCAAACACCATTTCGGAGTCGTCTATACAAAAGTCAAACTTCGGTCAACTCTTTTCACTTAAGCTTCTAAAACAAAAATTGTCCTTCCAAATAAATTCTGAATCATCTGAAAATCGAGCTCGACCGCAAACGCAAGTCATAATACATAATACGAAGCTACTCGAGACCTTAAGCCACTGAACGGGATGCTAATTCTCAAAACGACCGGTCGGGTCGTTACAAAAGGAAAATGCTCTTTGTTTTAAAAAGAATGAACCAATTACTATTTGGAGAGTCAAACAAGATTATTTAATCATATTTTTTGTAGATAGTTTTTAAATATTTTGAATTGTTAATATGCGACTTACTTACTTCTTATGTGGTTTCTAAATATGTAAGTTTTATTTTAAAAAATTTAAAGAATCTATGTATGAATTGACACAGAAATTAGTCAACTTGATCCATGCCGCAAAGATTCAAATAAATTGAAACTGAGGGAATATATAAAATAACATCAATGGTTTATCACTTTATATGACAATCCATGATTTTGTTATCTATTTACTTATTTGGTTAACTATCATATTCCCTAGATTATCTACATCAACTTTTTTAATCATTTGAATTTGAATCCGCGTGAAATTTAAGGAAATTTTTTAACTTTAGGGTCTTAAATAGAAAGAATTACACTTTTAATCACTTGGCACGGCAACCCAACTAAAAATAGTCCAGATTTGAAGCCTTTATCCGGCTTGGCCCAGGTTGTATATATTTTGAAAGAAACTTTTCAGTCTTTAACCCATTATTAAAGACATACTTCTAGGATTTTTTTTCTTTTCTTCTTTCTTCTATCCTAGCGTACTCAATCTCTCTTCACTCGACTCTCTCTTCCTTCTCCCTAAAATTATAGAATTTTTTTGTACACACTCGTGATAATTCTCGCATGCTATGTCAATTAGATTTCAATTTTTGAGTTAATTGACAAAAAGAGGTTAAGGAACCAGAATAAAATCTGGCATATCAGTCCAAAACTATCAGATCTGGCCTAAAACTATCAGATCTTGCCTAAAAGAGCATCTCCGGCGACCTCATCTCATATTTTCTTATTTCTCTTAGTTTTTGTTTCATCCTTTGCTACTGGTGAAGCCCAGATTTGAATGCCAAAACCTTGCCGGAAAAATTCAACACCAGCAACCACCGAAAACTGTAATGTGGTGATGGACAGAAGGTGTTTTCTAGTGTAAACTTGTATAGGTAGTGTTTATACAAACTTATACAATATTGTATAAATATGTATAAGTATGTATATATGCGTACAATGTTGTATAAATTAGATATATTTTTAATGTATAAGTGTGTATATACTGTATACATTGTACGTGTATAGTAGGCATCCATGGATGTTTTGACACTTTCTTCTTTTCTTCTTCTTTGTCTTTTTTTTTTTTTTCTGATATACATTATTAGAAATTGTATATACAAGTTTATACAAAGTTATACATCATTATGCATGTAATGCACATGTGTAGTTAAATCTAAAATAAAATTTATATGTTCAATCTATGTATAAATCGACTTTTCTTGTTGATTTATTTGCAAAATCATGAACGTGCAATAATTTTTTCAATTTTTATTTTTTATTTATGCTATTTGGAACTTGAAAAAGAAGAAAACTTAGGGTTTTCAAGTTGCATTATATATGAATTTGAATTTTTTGTAGCTGGAATAAGAATATATACAAACTTGGGGAAGAAGAATAAAAAATTACCGAATTTTCGTGCTTGAAGATCTGCAGATAAAAAAAAGAAAGAAAAAAATGCTTATTTTTTAAACGTTGGCCTATTGTTAATGGGCTACAGATTTGTAAAGTTGTAACTGGGTTATTCTGCTGCAATGTATGTAGGTGGACTGTATTTTTGTGTAATTCTCCCTCTTAAATATATAATATCGCCCAACCGTACTCTCAAATTAGAGGATTAAAGCAGTCGCCACAATATAAAATTAGTAAGACCAAGTCAAATCTTCGAGGAGCAATTACCTAGAGTAATGAGTTGTTTGAACCCCGAAGGGCTCCGGAAAGATTTGGTACATTATCTCGCTTTTTGAAAGGTTAAAAGACTAAATAATGACCCAACCGATTATTTGAGTTTTAGATCTCTATTTTTCTATACTTTCTGTAGGTTCACTTGGTATTTTAGACTTGTAGATATGGGTGATTTGGTTCCGATAATTTGAAACACTTGTTTCTAACTAGAAGCTTTAAGTTGAAAAGAATTTATCAAAATTAACATTTTGCATAAACAAGCTCGAATTGGTAATTTGAGGTTCCAATAAGTTCGTATGATGATTTAGGATTATATGTATATTTGATTAAGTAGCCAAAGGGTTCGGGTGTGATTCAGACATATCTTGTGAAAGTTGTAACTTGAAGAACATAAGAGTTCATAAGTTTGGTTTGGACCTTGATTCTTACAGCTTGTTTGGATGGTTGTTACCTATTGTATCGTATCGTATTGTTACTTTAAATACAATGTTTGTTTTGATTGTTACTTAAATTTTATTGTATCGTATCCTTAAATCCGTCGTTACGTAATGATGAAATGTGCCACTTTATGTAACGACCGATTTGGTGTGGCCGTGTCGTTTTCTTGTGTTTTTCTCTCAATCTCACCCTTCATTATTATTAAATAATTTTATTTTATCATTTACTCTACCTTTTTATATACCGTATCATAATTTTTTTTTATAATATTACAAGTTTATTTATCATATTACTGGTGCATGATACCATGAAGCGACGGTAAAACGACACAATCCATCCAAACATTGTATTCATCAAATGATACAATACAGTACAATACAATACGATATGAAACGATATGTAACAACCATCCAAACAATCAGTTAGTTGTGATTTTTCTGTATGTCTGTTGAGCCCTTGGACAAGTTCATATATAGTATACGGACCAGTGGAAATATAAAAGAGAGTCCTAATATTAATATGATGGATAATTAAAAGGCTGCATTATGTAAAATGAGAAAATTTAAGAAACCCAACATGATTAGTACTTTATTGAAAGAGTTTAACTTCTATACATTGACGCTATAAAATAATTTTTACACTATCAGATGAGCTATAAGTTGTTTAATAATTAGACAAATTGTCGTACCCATTACCATTAACAAACTATACAACAGGAAACAACTAAACAAGTATATGTTCATTTTCTCAAGAAAAAAAAAATCCTAACTGTTGCTCATGAATCTTTAGCTTTTTCTTTACTGTCTGTTCTCTCACTCTGTGATTCTTGAGTTGTAATAATAGGACCATGTGTTTTCTCAGGTTCTTTTGCTCCTCTATCTTCTCCAGTTCCAGTATTTTGGTTCTTGTTAGTTGAAGTGGAAGCAGAATTTTCAACATCACTTGACTTATGATGTTTTGTGGTGCTGTTTTTGAGTGATTCAGAGACTACTTGTATTTTGGGTAACTCTTCCTTCTTGACATCATTGTGGTTTGTGGCATCTTCATGAGACTTCTCTTCATCATTGAGTAGTTCCTGCTCAGCATTGCAAAACCAAAGGAAAAAGCTTGAAATCAGTGGTGAAGTCAAGAATTTCGCTAAGGGTGTCTAAGGATATTTAAGTTATTATGTATTATATGTATAAAAAATAGTAATATTTCACATATATGCACAGTATAATTTTCCGGCGAAGGGTCTCACCAACCTTGAGCCCTTGTTGCTCCGCCACTGCTTGAAACAGTATTTTTACATACTAAGAAACAGGCATCTATTTATGCTCTTGCAAAAAGAATGTTCTATCGGAAATAACCTCTCTACCTTCACAAAGTAGGGGTAAGGTTTGCATAAATCCTACCCTTCTCAGACCCCATTTGTGGAACGCACTAGGTATGTTGTTGTGAATGTAAGTTTTATGCATTGATAGTGCAAAAATAGGAAAACCTTGCTAAGGGTGTTTGAAATCGGTGGCAAAGTCAAGAATTTCGCTAAGGGTGTTTAACGATATTTAAGTTAATATGTATTATATGTTTAAAAAAGTAACAATTTCCCTATATATACAGTATAATTTCGGGTGAAGGGTGTTCAACTGACCACCCTTGAGCCCATGTTGCTCCACCACTGCTTGAAACAGTATTTTAACAAGCACAAAGATATGATTTTGAATGAATTTAATAAGAAAAAAGCACCTCTTAATGCTTTGGCAAAGAGAGTGTAAAACCTTCTCTCTAATGGGTTGTTTGGTTTACCATACTAATGAGTAAGAAAAATAATCCTAGCATAAAACTCAGCATAAGTAATTCCATGTTTGGTTGGTTGTAAACGAAAAAATACAATATTTGGTTAGCCTTATTAAACTCTGCATTGCTAGTACATGCATAAGTTATACGTGGATCGGTGAATTATTTTATAGGGAATAAATGTGAACTAAGAACATATGGATTAATAATAGATGGATAAGAGTAACTAAAGATAAAAATGCTCTTAAAGTAATAAATCCCAACATAACAATCCCTGCATTATTATTCACCGCATAACAAGGGGCGGAGCTATGTAGAAGCAAAGGGGTTCAATTGAATCCACTTTGTTGGAAAATTATGCCGTGCAAATAGAGCAAAAACTAATATTTTGGTTATATATAAACTGTAGAATCTCTTTGACATAAGGGTAGATTTTAGTGCAGAGGCAAAGGGGGCTTCCAAAATTGCTTTAGAACACAACATAAATTCCCGGCTCCGCTATTGCGCATAAGAATCTCTGTACTATAAGGTATCTTATACTATCGGTATATATAACTTAAGTTGTTTTTTGTTCTAGAAAGACAACAGCTGCATCTTCCAAATATTAAGATCATGCATCTTTTAGAGTGAGAAATTAAGTGCTACTTGTAATATTGTGCTTACTGCTTATAAACATTATTTCCTCATAAATGCATGTTATCAGCAATGAAAATGAAAAAATAACAATTTGTTTGGTTGGAGTAATGGGCTTTAACCAGAGTTCTTTTTTCCATCAGAGACATGATATTTCAAGGGAAAATTTGTTTTCTTGTCAAAAGAAATATCCTTTCCAGGTCATATGCCATCTACTCTTGGTATTAATATGACAAATTCAAGTTATATACACCGACGGTGAAAATAATATTTACATTGTCAGCGTAATTTAACATGTTATAGCATGTCGCATGTCTTATTTTTTAGGTTACTAGTTCCACTTATTATGGATAGTTAGCTATTTCGTAGTTATCTTTTAGGCGACATGATAGTGTCAATATCGTGTATCGAAGTTAAACTCTAACATGAATAGAAACATACCATCTTAGCATCTGCATGATGAAGTTTGTCTGCTGCAGAATCAATTAACAAAGTTCTTGTGTTTCTAGACATTCTTGGACTTGGACTTTCACCTATTTGTTCCTCCCTGTTAGAATTTAACATAGGGCCTTGACCTGTTGAGGATTTCGCTTCGAGTACAGACTTAGGTGATGAAGATGAACTAGATGCTGTAGGGACTTCCCGGACCATAGAATGTAAGCTGATAGAATCTTGATTGACTGCTCTCTCTGATAGAAAACCAGGTATATGATCCTAAATCACAAAAGCAAAACAAGAATCACTGAAATTTCAAACATTCTATAAGTGAGAAACTGGATAAAAAATGTTTTTTGCTATGCTTAACAATTGATATCCTAGATATTGGTATCCGCGTTTAACAAGTCGATACACAGCTAATATTCTGATGAAAGGGTATTATTTGTATGTTAGATTTCAACTTCATCATTGTCAAAACATCAAATTACCTCAGAATGTGATGAATTCTGCACTCTCTTCTGTTCCTCAGAATTTGAGGACCTTTCATTTACTGAGAACTTTGGTTGAATCAAAGAGTTGGGAGAGGGGGATGAAGTAGAGGCAGTTGGAACTTGTTCAACAACAAAATCTTGTGGTGATGATGATGCTTGTGATTCATCAAAACTCTGGCTAATTGTAGAAAAAACTACTTCTTCAATATGCCGTGAACCACTCTTATCGCGAAGCGTTTCCTGAATGTCATTGCTAGTGAGAGACTTAGGATTTTCTGCAGGCTTCTGTGTCTGTGAATGTGGAACTGAATTCTTCACTTTCGGATCCTTTATCGATAATGTCGAGCTCCGAGAAGTGTTCGGATCAGAACGTTCAGCAGTTACTTCATCTGGCAATTGATCAGTTGCAAATTTTGGTTGCGATACGGACTTAGATGATGATGTACTAGAGGCTTCAATTGAGTGATGTCCTTGTCCAATAGTTGAAAATACCACATTTTCACTATGTCGTTCGCTGTCACTGCCTATAATGAGTTCTGCACTGTCATTGTGTAAAGCTGAATTTGAAGTTTCTGTTTCTGAAGGTAATTCTGAAACTTGTAAAATTGAATTGTTTAAACTAAGCTCTGATTCTTGTGAAGCAATTGAATCTGATCTTTCACTAGAAATGTTCATTGACCTATCATTTTGAACATGATCTAAATTTGAGGAGGATCCTTGTTCGATTAGACAATTTGGTTGTAGAACAGAAGTTGGTGATATTAGTGATGTTGACGCAAAAGGGAGTTGTTGTACTGAAAATTCTGGTTGTAATAATGACCCTTGAAGCCTGTCACCAACTACAGAAAGTCCTTCCGGCCTACGCTGTTGATAACTGCTGGCTTGAGTCCTTTCTGTCCTTGGAGGTGGAAATGAGCTTGAAGCAATAGAATCTGGTTCAACTAATCGTTCCAATGGAACATTGTGTGGCACATTGTTCTCGGACATTTGGAACCTCGAAAATCCAAAATCCACAATATCTTGCTCAGTAACCTCGCGCACTTCTTTGGAATTTGATTCATTTTCATCTACTCTAGCTAGATGTGACGAGGACATCAGCGTGTCTTCACTGCTAGACGCGATAGCTTTTTCTATCTCCCCATCAATAGAAATTTCTTCATCCGCGGATGAGCTCCCATCGTTTGTCAGTGGAGGTGAACCGACTTCAGAAACCTCCACTTGCAAGTCAGAAGCAATAGAGTGGCAGGAAGTACGGTGCATAGGACGATTCGGATAGTAAAATCGTTCATCCTCTCTCGTGCTATCCAACAATGATGAACTAGGATGTGATGGATCACTTGATAAGTTCCTTAGAGCAGGAGAAGCAATAGACTTCAAGATTGCATCTTTATCTATCTTGTAAAATGGTCCATCCTCTTCTGAAGAAGACGTCGAGCTTGTCCTATTGCTTATGTCTTCCACTAGTACTGATTTTATCTGAACTTCACTATTATCTTTTTCATCCTGACTAATATCCAGGCCTTCCCTACTATGTTCTCCTTTATAGCCCAAATTCATCTCCGGTTCGGATGCTTGAGATGTCACTTCTTCAACTACTCTATCGTTATCTTCCCTACCTGCAAATAGATCACATTTTGTTAACTTTCACTAAAAAAAGGAAGAGCTATAGGTCACCATGAACTTCGCCCGTGTGAGTTTGCTCACGTTGCTAGTCCCAAGCCTGGATAAAAGGAGGGTAGGGTTGGTTGACAACTAGTGTAAAACTAGTAAATTCATGATGAATCCTCAAAAGAGGGTAGCGCGGTTCATGCAGGGTCCGGGAAGGGCCTCACCCCAAGGGGTGTGACGTAGATAGCCTACCCAAATGCAAACCTTAGTGGCTGTTTCCACGGCTTGAACCTGTGACCTATAAGTCACACAGAGACTACTCTACTATTGCTCCAAGGCTCCCCTTCTCACAATACAAAATATGTTGTATTGAAGGAAGTATTAAAGGCCACCCTGAACTCCAGCTATATGAGTTTGCTCACATTGTCGGTCCGCAGGTTGACAGCCAGAATAAAACTAATCAATTTATGAAGAATCCTCACAATGCGAAATATGTTGTATTAAAGTTACTAATGCAAGCTTTGTTTGAATCTTGATACTAAAAAGAATAGATATATCATTTTACCTAATCGGTGTCTTGATTTGGAATTTTCAGATGCCTCCTGAAACATTTGCCTGGACGGAACATCAAAACAAGGTGTTGGCTCGCGTTGATCAAGGTTCGAATCCCCTAGAAAAGCAGCCCCTATTCGTAAGCTTTCGTTCCTGTCCTTCTGTTCCTGAGCTGACATAAATTCTTGCAAGAAACTGCCACCTCTAACATTAGGCTTCTCTTCATGCTGATCATAAGGAAGGTCAAAAGGATTCCGATTTGGTCCTAGAATAGAAGGGGCCGAGCCCGGGGTAGGTGAAAATTGACTAGTTGATGATGATTTGTTCTTTGGAATTAAAATTGAAGAAATTGGAGTCAATGTTTCTTTGCAGCCTATATTCATCAATGACCTTCTAACCTGGAGGCTCAACATCTTTCGTGCTCTTCGTCTCGCCATCAAACTTTCTAATCTTTTTGTTCTTTCAATCTCAGAAAGTCCAAGATCCATGAGATTCTTTTGATCATCTTCTTTCCATTGTACAGCCTTATTTCTTGCACCTTCAATTTCTATTTCACCAAAACATTCTGTTTTTCTCTCATATATACTGCTAAAAGATTTAAAACATTTGCCATTTGCTTCATATGAGCATTCAGAATACTCAGGCCCTGAATTTTTGAAAATACTCGAGGTGGAAGAGCATTCAGCACGATCACTTATCGAATGCACTTCCACCTCTCGAATATCTTTTAATTTTTCTTCTATCAATGCACCTTTGTCAACAAAATCATGATCATTAAAAGGTATTCGAAAAGGTGCACCTTGTATTAATTCCTCAGCACCGCTTTCTATATGTTTCTTGGATTTTCTTCGTCTAACTGATCTAGCTCGAAGAAAAGCCTTTTGTTTATTGTCAATATTGACATTATCATTATCTTTATCTACATGGCTAATTTTCCTAGAAGGTTTCGAATCGACATCTCTTTCGAAATGTTTAAAATTTGGTATGCTAAAAAAAACTATAAGAAGAATAGTGAAAAAGAACATGAGGGGCAATGAATAAATGAAAAACCAGGTGATTGATGGTGAAAGAGCATAAAATAGGATGAAGAATGACAAAGTGGATGAAACAAATGGATGTTTCTTGGCAAAAGTGAAGGAAAATTCTATAGAATATTTAACATGTTTCCATATCAAAGTCTTAGTATCATTTGAATTGATAGCCATTTTTGTCTCAAATGTTGTATCATTAGGAAACCTTTTTTAAAAGGGTACACATGAATCTCAAATTATCTAACAAAAATATCCAGAGGAAAGGGAAATGGATATAAATAGAAAAAGACTCTCATCTTACCTTAATTAGCAGGAGAAAGAATGATTTAATGAAGGATAAAATATTAAAAGAAGATAAATGAGACATAATAGGAGATACTGTGAAGAAAATTTGACATGGTAATGAGAAATGTATCTATTTTTACCAAGAGAAATTAGGATAGAGGAATTGTGTCTATGTTTGTGCTTGTATGATTTTAGGAATTCTCCACCATCCTTGCTCCTGTTTTTTCGTGGCTAAGTGATAACTAGAGATTAGGATTCAAATTCAATGAATATATATGTAGCTCTGTTTTAAAAGGCAGAATTGGGACCGCCCAGGGCTCGCCCCGTGGCGGAGCACTCGTAAAACGCCCCTGGGCTTATGTGTGGGGTTTAGTTCCGTGAGACTTACGCCTCGGCCACCGGGGCTTACGCCCCGGACACGCCCAACGCCCAAAGTACTGGGCTCGCCTAATAAAAATTTATGCAATTGTATGTAACTAAACTTGTAAATCCTCAAGTTTTCTTACCAAATCGTTGACTATTCAAAATTACTTTTTTCTTAATCATAAATCATTAAGTTGAGAGTATTTTATGTCATAATTAAAATAAAAATTATTGCACGTTATCCACTAAGACTGCTATGATAGTAAATTTTAAATAAATCTTTCTTTTCAAAAGTATTTATTTATTAACTTTTGTTATGTCTTTACTACATAATAGTCCATAATTTTTTTATAATTATTTTTCTAAATATTATTTTTTTCACGTTTACAAGATACAGTACTTGTTAATTTAATATCTCAATATTAACTAGTAACTATTTACAAATAATTAGTTATCATGATATTGTATGATGAATTATGTGTCAGTTTATTAACTTGTTAAAACTTCAAAATAAATGATGCTAGAGAATCATATTTAAATTGTGAATTATGTTTTTACATAAATTCTCTTTCAAATAGAAATCATATTAAATGAAAGGAGTATTTTAAGTAAAATATCAAATTATAATATTAAAATTCTTTCAAGATTTATTACTCCTTAAGAGTTACATATAAGATTTCATATCGAATACATTACTTTTGATGTTTGAGTTGTAACTACGTTGCAACTAATTTGCATATTATGATATATGTCATACTTTTCGTATTATTCATAGTCGAATTATAATTTATAAATATTTTAAATAGATTTTTTGTTATAAAGATGTAATTTTTATAATTATTTTTTATTTTGTACTATCTTAAAATTCTTGAAATTAGTAAAATTTAAAGATCTGTGGACTTACCCCCATGTTTCAGCGCTTACGTCTCTCCTCGTCAGAGGTAAAACGCCTCGTCTCTCGCCCCCGCCTTTTAAAACATTGATATGTAGTATCACTCACCTATTATTCTCGTTTTTGTTTTTCACCATTTCTTTTCAATCATAAATATAGTCTATATATAGAGAGAGAGATAGATAGGGACTATATTTATATAGTTTGGATTGAAAAAGTTTAAGTTATTGTATACGGGTAAAAGGGATAATGCATAAAATCCTCCCCGACCTATGATCATAGTACCAACTACGCACATTTTCTTTTCGGGGGTCCTATTACCGCCTTGAACTATTTTAAAGTGTATAAACATCACCCTAAGTGCTCACGTGGCATAGAGAGTGTGCACACTCTCTTAAGGGCAAGTGGAAGTTACAAAAATAATTTTAAAATTGATTAACATGTACAAATGTCATCTTTTGATTAGACATTACATAATTAATCACATCTAATTAATTAGTCTCCTTCGTCTTCTAAACCTCTTTCTCGCACGAACAAGGGGGACATCGTTTCAACAGCGAAATGCCGGAGCAAAAATCCAATATAACGCAAAAATCAACCTAGAAAACAAAAGCAGATATGCTTAATAAAAGAAACAGAGCTACAACTAGAGGGAGCAACGAGCATGACTCATAGTAAGAACCTACGAACAGTAAAAACGGTCAACAACAATGGAGTTTCGCCGGAGCAAGGGTCTTCGTCGGATTTCGTTCTCCGGCCAGATATGACAATCTCAAACAAGGAATTATATAAAACGCATCAAATGAGGCTTTTGCCTTTTGGTCGGATATGGTAATGAAGGTCTGCAAATAGAAAAATAAGGAAGAAGGAGAAAACGGTGAAAAATAGTTTTTAAGTAAGAAATACACATTTTAGGCGCGTGTATTTCACCATTTTGTACGCATCTGGTTTGTAGCTTTTAAGGGGTAAAACAATTTTACTTTTAAATAGTTCAGGGGATAATAGGACCTCCGAAAAGAAAAGGTGTGTAGTTGGTAATATGGTTATAGGTCTGTCACGATCCGGATTTCCCCACCCTCGGGGGTCGTGATGGCGCCTACTCGTAGAAGCTAGGCCAGCCACAAATCATAAACTCCTACCTATTTCATTTTAAATCCTTTTATCAATCATAACAACAAGCGTTAAATATTTAAATGACAGCGGAATATGAAATTAAAGCGGAAGACTTAAATTAAATAAGTTGAACAATGATGCGGAATTCAACATGTGCCTCTACCCAAGAACTGGTGTCACATCATCCACGGACACTAAGAGTGCTAAATACAACCGTTTGAAAGAAATATAACACTGTTTGTCTCGAATACATGGGATACAAAATGAAATAAAAGATAGAGGAGACGTCGGGCCTGCGGACGCCTGCAAGGCTACCTCGGTGCCTCAGTGGACTGAAGGCTGGCTCCCGAGCTACTGCTGCTGTCCGGGACCTGGATCTGCGCAAAAGAGCACAGCGTGTAGTATCAGCACAACCGACCCCATGTGCTGGTAAGTGCCTAGCCTAACCTCGGCAAAGTAATGACGAGGCTAGGACCAGTCTACCAAATAAACCTGTGCAGTTATATAATGTACATCGGAAAGTAAAACAGAAATAAATAAGTAAGGATGGGAGGGGGAAACATGTTGCGGGGAGATAATAGTTCCGAATAAAGCATCAAGTAAGGAAAGGAACAACATAACTACAATGTCAACAAGAAGCAGAAATCAAATAAGTGCACGGCATCACCCTTCGTGCTTTTACTCTCGTCCTCACCAAGCAATAATATAATGAAAACGTGCACGGCATCACCCTTCGTGCTTTTACTCTCTTTCCTCACCAAAGCAATTAGAATAATAAAATGTGCACGGCATCACCCTTCATGCTTTTACTCTCTTTCCTCATATATAATCAATTGAATTCGCACGGAATGGTACATCGTGCGGCACGGCATCACCCTTCGTGCTTTACACTCTTTCTTCACAATAGCAAACAATGCACGGCATCGCCCTTCGTGCTTTAACACTCTTCCTCACCCAAACAACAATCACAAACAAGGGCAAGGGAAATAAACAAGAACATATAGGAATCCCGGCAAGGGAACAACGATTTAACAATTAAATCCCGGCAAGGGAGCGACAAGTAAATAATTAAATCCCGACAAGGGAACAATAATTACATAATTAAATCCCGGCAAGGGAACATTTCAATAACTCTTTCTCTATCTTTCACTTGTACTTCATAACTCACTTTACCACTTGATCCAATGCTCCAAAGGGTTCAATCATCTCATATACTTTCACAATTCATAATATAACTCGAGTCAATGCTCCAAGATGTTCAAAGGTCTCAATTCCTTCCACAAACTTTTCACAACAACTAGAAATCATCACCAAAGCATGAAGGATACAATGAAATCAAATATTCACGATGTAAAGACTCACGGTCATGTAGACACCAACGTTAGATACTCGTCACCATGCCTATACGTCGTACACGACTAATACCACATAGCAAATAGGACTCGACTCCTAATCCCTCAAGCTAAGGCTAGACCAAACACTTACCTCGATGCCTTGAACACAACTCAAGTCTCAATTATAGCTTTACCCCTTGATTCCACCGCCAATTCGCTCGTATCTAATCACAAATTACTTAATTACATCAATAAGTGCTAAATGAATCAACCCCAATGCATGAAAATGAGTTTTCCAAAGTTTTCCCAAAAAGTCAAAAACTGCCCCCAGGCCCACGTGGTCAAAACCCGAGGTTCGAATCAAAACCCGATTACCTATTCCCCCACGAACTCAAATATATAATTTGTTTTGAAATCGGACCTCAAATTGAGGTCCAAATCCCCAATTTTTAAAAAACCTAGGTTCTACCCAAAACACCTAATTTCCCCCATGAAAATCTTTGATTTTAGGTTGAAATCATATTAAAAGATGTTAATGATTGAAAGAAATGAGTAAAAACTAACTTACAATTGATTTGGAAGAAGACTTGTTCTTGGAAAATCGCCTAAGTGTGTTTGGGTTTAAGAAAATATGAAAGATGAGGTTTAAAATCGTTTTAAGTGTAAAATTGCAGGTCTATGATATGGAAAATGCGAACAGGGGTTCGCAATTGCGAACCCTTCTAAAATTCCGGACCTTCGCATTTGCGAGGCCGTGTCGGCATTTGCGATGGTCGCATTTGCGACATAAGGATCGCATTGCGATCACTGGCCAACATGGGAGCTTTCGCATTTGCGAAGAAGTTCTCGCATTGCGAGCTCGCATTTGCGAGCCATTTGCAAGCCTGCAGGTCAGTTCATACCAGCAACTTTTAAGTTCAAAAATGCACCTCGTGGCCTATCCAAAACTCACCCAAGCCCTCGGGGATCCAAACCAAATATACACACAACCTCAAAAACATCCTACGGACTTATTCGTGCGATCAAATCGCCAAATAACATCATAAACATCGAATTAAACCTCAAAACCCAAGAATTCTTTCAAACTTCATAAAACATCAAATTTCCCAATTTAGGTCCGAATCACGTCAAACGACGTCCGTTTTCAACCAAATTTCACAGGAATGACTTAAACCATATATAAGACATGTACCGGGCGCCAGAACCAAAATACGGGACCGATACCAACACGTTCTAATCAATTTTCATTTCAAATTTCCTTAAATAATTTCAGAAAATAATTTTACAAAAAATTCATTTCTCAGGCTTGGGACCTCGGAATTCGATTCCGGGCATACGCCCAAGTCCCATATTTTCCTACGGACCC